AGTTATAAAGTTCTACAAAGCTATCTAATACAAAAACATTTCAAACAATCTATCTTCTTACGATTAGTAACGCCTTCTTGATATTTCATAAACAATTGTCTTCACAAAGACTTAAACATTCCTACTCTTAATCGATTAGCAAAATGTTATTACTTTAATATTCATACTAACTTCAACTGTCACAATAACTCATTAATTAAACAATTATCCCCCATCTCACTTTCCGGTAATTTACACATGTAACTTAAAATACAGTGGCCTAGAGATCTACTAAGAAAAAAAATCTGGTCGGCTATCACTACCAAGTGCCTATTCATATACGTAATCTCCTGTCAATAACCATTTATCAAATTTACTCACTATACTAATAATTGTACTATATAAATTGTAAATAATAAAATTAAATTAGAAACGCGGAAAAATTATCGTTTTTCCTTATAATTTTTTGTTTGTTTTTCCCGATTATTTTTAAAAATACTGATCACTAATGATTGCCTTTTCTAAAGTACAAAGTAGATCCAATTGACAATTTATTATTCAAACTACCTTCAAAGTTTAAAATCAAAGAATTATTTTAATTACTTATTGTCTACATACACATAAAATATACATCATTACCTATTCATTATAAAATAAATATTATTTATTGTTCATTCAGAATTTGAAAATCATCTAAAAGAAAGAGGTAGGCACAATTCGAGGGTAGGGGGTGTTCTTAGACCTTTTCTGTCACCTAAGCCAACAACAAAATAAATTATATCATTCATGTTGTTTTTCAAAACAAATTCATCGGTGTTTTCCCCTGTCGTCGTATACTCGTATGTAAGACAGAAAGCACAAATAATTATTATTATTATTAGATCATTATTCGCTATTAATTGTTATATTATTATTTTGTTTATGTATCTCAGTTAGTTGGCTCGTGATTTCCTGATGAATATAATATTACATGATTGTGAATATAGCATGATTTCTTTTTTTTTATTACAACCGGCTTTCCTACATGTTTAATTTTTAAAAACATACAAAGTAAAATAAAAATATATAATTATTTTACTATATCGGATTCTAAAAATAAAAAAATAATAACATTCTATTCAATGTATACCAAATCATTAACATTAGCTGATATACATAAGATAGAATTTAAAAAACCCCGAACGTATTTGAAATTAATAATCGCAAACATTTATTGACCACTGATCTAAATTAATATTTTTTTTAACCTTAAACTTACCATTTTTGGATTATTTAATATCGGAAATTAAAAATAGATTTGTAGGTCACGGCCATGAAACGGTTATGAATTTATAATACCTATTTATACCATTTTTTTACGCAAAGATACAAATATCCAAAACAATTATTGAATCGGCCAAATTTTATGTTGATCATTTAATTGGCTCAAATGAAGAAGTTGGAGGTCAGGTTACTTTATGAAAACAATTTTGAAAATTTCAATTAGATAACCCGAAAACTGCTATGAAAACGTTAACCCATGCATCTAAATTTTATCAGAGTATAATAGATGAATTGCTTAAAATTATTTATGTTATACCAATTACCACTTGCACTGCAAATAAAAAACATTTTCTTCATTTCGACGAATAAAAACATCATTAAAATCCTTCCTGGCTTGTAAAAGTATTTCGTGCATCATCCCGTATGCTACAAGATCGTCAGATAAGCGATTTTGCGTCCATTATTTTTATATTTAGAGACTTAGCGTAATGATTTGTCTTTGTAACATATTTTGTGCCATTTAGCATTCCAGCAACTATAAATTATTTTCTGAATAAAACATGAACTATCTTAATAAGAAGAATACAATATGTAGGTATATTATATTTTCAGTCTTTAGCTATAAAATTTTAATACTTCGACATTTTAACTGTAAAAATTTTTTTTTTTAATTCGTACCTATGAATTTTTAATATTTTAGTTGTCGAAAGAAACATTTTTTAACTAGCATTTATAACATTTATAACTTATTTTTAACAACATAATTCGCTTTCTCTACTAATTTCTTCCCTATAACATCAATAAAAAAAATTGTCAAAAATGTTTAAGACCTCCTTTAAATAAAATTGTTTACATGTTAATATTTGTTATTATGTGTATAATTATATAAATTTTAAGTTTGATTTTTATCTTTGTTACGTCCAATAGTAATATATCTTGTCGTAAACATGGTTTTAATCGCCGATATTTTGATTTAGTTCTTAAGTTCTAAAAACGTTTGTTTTGAAAATGATTAAATATATATATATTATACTGTGTATAAGCAATTCTAATATAAATATTTGGTTAAAATTTCAAGTATGCACCTATCTACGATTAATTTTTTCCGAATTAAAACTAAAATAAATAAAAAAATTGTTGTTTACATATAAATAGGTTATCCAATTTTGTTAAATTTCAAACACTCATAAAAAAATAAAAATATATATTAACTTGATGATCAACTTTTTTTTAATTCCAGTGATAAAAATTACGATAAACCTTAAATTAAATTTTCAAATCTTAGATATGACTAATGTGAGTATTGAAAATTATGTAAATTTTTAATTACAAAATAATTTGCAAATTTTTTGTTTTGAGAAAATACATCTTTCTGGTGCGCGCCAATAATTAGTTAATGATATATTTATTTATGGGTATATAAATTATTAACCATAGATTAATGATAACCTTAGTCTACTGAAATCACCTTAAATTATATAAGATCTAAGCTTAGTAAACTCTAAGTCTATGATTTGGTATTAACATTATCAATAGATAACATTTATTATTTACCATAGAAATCATTTGACCACTTTTAAAAATTTATTTATTTTAGTTTTAATCTTCAATAAACTACGACTTATTTAATTGGAAAACAGTAGAATTTTTAATCGGCACTTTAACTATTATTTAATGTTTAATTACCTGACTAATGACTATAATAAATCAATTAAAACTAAAATTTTAAAACTGGCCCTTATGAATATAATTTTTATTCCAATAATTTATTAGACATATTAGGTTTGCATCAAAGAAAATCAACAATTCAAAAATTATATACCTACTATACCTATTGGTATTTAATATATTCATTGAAACACTAGCTAACCTGTCGATACATTGTAGGTATTAGCTACTAGGTAAATGAAACGGTGGAATGTGAAGAAAAGCATGAGCTTAGGAATGAAGCTATTAAACCATAGATATTATGTTAAAAATAATATAAAAGTCGTAGTTGATATTATACATCTTTACCGACTATACCAAATTTACAATATATACCACTATATCTAATAGTGAAAATTAACGGTCAATAATGGAAATAAGAAAGAAATAAGAAAATACTTAACCCTGCCTGAGTAAAATTACACTTATATAGTATATTGAATACCTATATAAGTACCTATTGGGTATTAGATACCTATAATAAGTAGGTATACCTACTGTTTGAGCTATAGGTCAAAACTTACCCAGTCTGCTTACATACTAATTAAACATTCCGCGATGTTATATCCGGATCCAAATTCACATTAAAACTTCATCTGCGAGTCATTGACTTATTAATTATTTTATTTTTCAAGTCGATTTTGAAAATTGAAATTATTAGAATTATTAATCATCTTTGACGATTTCCATTTGCCATACATTATAAATACCAACCTAAAATAATAGATAAATTATAATAAGAATAGCCTCAAAATTACCAACTGAATTTGTTATGAGAAAATCCCAAAAAGAAACCCTCTAAATTGAAAATCAAAGCATTTTCACTATTTTTAAGCTAATTTACCGATTGCTTATACCCCTAAACTATTAAAAATATTCTATTATAAGTTAATAATAATTTTCTTAAGATCTTTACGTGCTATTCAGACAAGGTACTCCAAAACTATTTTCTTCTATTGTTATATCCTCTATCATATATCTGTTCCCAGTTAGCTTCTAATTTCCTATAGTATAGTTCCCTAATTTGGTCCTTCCATTTTCTTTATGGTTTTCGCCTTAGTCTCTTTCTTCTCATTAAAATATATGTACTCCTTTTAATATACATCCATCATTCCATAATACATAATCCAAATCCAAGCCTCTTAATAGTTTAATGAATTACCTATATCACATTTAATAAGTTAATAATAATAAATAATATATTAATGTATGTAAAAATATGTTATTTTATAAAGATAAGATCAATATTAGCAATAGAAAATTAAATAACAGATACCTAGTAACATAATGAAATATTTAAAATACTTTTAGAAGTAGAGCTGACCCAATATCCATAATATTGTTTTTAATATAACAATGATTTATCATTAAATTAAAATTTAACAAAATGTGTTTATTTATTTATCACATAGGTGATAAAATAATAATTCATTCTGAAGTAAAAATTTCCATTTACTTAATATGAATATACAAATATTGTCCCCTCCTCAAATGGGAGGTATTTTTTTATTACTTACACTTAATATACAATAATAGGTTTAAAAAAAATCAAAAAGGTTGACTGTCGAATGAAAATTTACCATGTTATGCACAAGTCAGAGAGTAAATTAATTGTGCTGACATTCAATATGTACATTAAAAAATTTATACCACAAACCAATGAGCCATGACCAACTAGTACATACAATTCTAGGCTAGATTAAATTTTAAATATATTATTTTATAAAATGTATAAAGCAGTTTTTATGAAAGGTGTTTGTTCACAGTATTAAAAACAATGTTTGTAAATAATAATAAAATAAATCTTTTTTTAATAAATCACTTATAATACTACAAATTCAACAATCAAATAATAATTTAAATCTATCTAAAATAAATATCATATACAAATAATTTATCATAATAAAATAAATAAATTTTTTTTTAATAATTTAGATATTTTAACATAAGATAGAATATATTTTGATAAAATAGTTTTTATCAAAAATTATATACACACACGACTAATACCGTAACCCTTTTATTAGTATAACTAAAATAACTTGAAAATGTTATTCTTGTTGTATTGATTGCATCCAGTATAACGCATTTTTTATTTCATATAATTTTGCTCTGCGCAAAAATGTAGTGATTAATTGATATTCTGTACAAGTACGTTGTTTAGTGTTTAAAGTTGACATCATTGTTCCTCCTTCACATAACACCTTTGTTGTTAAACACAACATCCATTGCAACACCTAATAAATAATTCAATTTTTAAAGGACATTTTAGACTGTTATAATCCATTTTTTGTTTTTTCTAAATACAATAATATGTATATTTATTTTTATAAGACGTATATAATATATCTGTATTGGTTAGCAACTATTAAGATTAAAAATTGTAAGCGTTAGATAGTTATTATAACTTTGGGAATAATTCTTTATGTGTTATTAATGTATATATAGCATATTGAAGTTTAATGCATAAAGACAAGAGACTAATTTAGGCCTGTCAGCTTCCACTACCTAAGTAACATTTAGTTATATACTTAATACATCATAGAAGAAATTAAGTCACAAGTATTATTGCATAGAGACATGAAGGGTAGAATTTTTAGCAAAATTATATTCAAAAGATGAGATATAGAAAAGCAAGAGATTTATGATAATAAAGAACTTTTTATACAGTATGAGATCTAATAAATACAAGAAGTTAATGTGACCATTGATAAGGTTGTATAAAACTGATATATACACTAATCAAGATAAATGACCAAGGTAAGTAAGTTCAATTATATTTGAATTAGATCATAATTATGGGGATCCAAAAAGAAATTAAAAGCTACAAATTTCAAAGTGTTTTTGAACTCATTTAATTGACTCATATTGTCAATTAGAACAAGGGCTTCAAATGATGGAACTATTCTTAAAAATTGATTTAATTAGAATTTTATAACATGAAATGTAAATAAATTCAAATTCATTCTCTATTTGACAAAAAAAGGTTAAGTTATTTTTTCAATATAATGCTATGTTATATTATATATTATATTATGTCTATGTAGAACATATATGTAAATCAAGAAAAAATATTATCAGATTATCTTGGAGTGTACCTAAAAAGACTAGAAGTAGTAATTTTTATGCAAACAATACAGCAAAACTTCGATAGATATTGCATTTCAGAATATATTTAATTTCAAGGTAATAATAAATTATTCATTTGAAAATATATGACATTTGAATAGCAATATAAGTATTTATAAGAAGATATTCATAGCAAAGCATTAATGACAATAGATAAATCATAATACAATACAAAATCTCAATTATATAACCTAAACATAATATTTTACAACATAAAACATTTGTAATAGGTCATCAACAAAAAAATTAAATATTAATTTCAAAAATCTAAAATAATTAATTCCTATATTGTATACAATTATTCTTTCTATACAAATGACCATGGCACTACCAATGGAAGTTTAACAATAGAGTTTTTGGTGAACAAAGTTTGAGCTCTTTATGGCTTAAAATTTTTTAAGAAATATACATTACTGGTAGGCAATAATGTTTTATGAAAAATATAAATAATGGGATCAACTAAATTAATTGGAAATACATGAGAAACACCTGCATGACTATTACACAAATAATATTTAATCAGGTTAGTTAATAATCATACATACAAATACATCAATAACAAACACAAACACTTTCAAATAGAAATGTGAGATAGAACTTTTAAATAGAGTTAAATTGTTTCTTGAATGAACCAATTAAATGGGATTTTAATCAACATAACAACTTATTATTTTTATTTTCAAACAGTTCAACTCAACTAATATTTTAATATTATATACCTCGTTACTAGTTGGCATCATATATTTTGTAATCCATGATGATGGCCCCCAAAGATATATCTGACAAACTGTAGCAGCAAACGAAACGTCTAATCTCTAAAAAAAAATAATATATATATTGATTAAAACTTATAAGCTATAACAATACTTGAAAAATTATACCAATGCTAATTTATTAGTCAAAATAAATTTAAAAAATCTTTTTTAATACTACCTTTGATGTTGATCTTTGTAGCAGTGAATGAATTAATTTTTGTATAATTAATGGTATATCACTACTAAGTGCAGGAAGATCTTCTTCCTTGTACGTAGAATTACGCAACAATGGAGGTTTACCTCTTTCATAACTATAAAATGGATTACTACCAGAAAATATTTCATATGCCATTGCTCCAACTGCCCATACATCTGCTTTTGAATAATCAATATATCCGAATGTTCCTGGTCGAGCAGTAACAACCTAAAAATTAAATAAGAATAAACAAGTTAATTTATTATTAGAACTAATTCTACTTTTTCTTATACTTCTGGTGCCATCAATGCTATATTTCCTCCACGATCAGTATCAGCAGTTTTATATGGTAGATTAAGTCCATTATCTTTATCAGCAAGACAACACCCAAAATCTGTAACGACTAATGCTGGACATACATCATTACCTTCAGACACATCTAATAAGATATTATCAGTCTTCAAATCCCTAAAATTACATTTAAATGACATAAATATATACATATAGAGAATATTTTAGATAATTTTATACCTATGTGCCACATTTTGATTTGACAAATGAGAAACAGCTTCCAGTAACTGAGCAAGCAATAGGATTTTATCTCTAATTTTTAGTGATGGCGTTTTAGATAAATATTGTTTCAAACTCATGTCATATCTAAACCATAAGAAAAATAAATTTAAAACTTGATAAGTAATTAAAAATGAATATTTTACTTTTTCATCACTAGAAATAAACTCATATTTCGACCATAACCTTCTGGATTTATTCTAGTTGGTAGAGCTTGAGGATACAATATATGTGAATCAATCAACTCTGGTACATAGTCCGTAAAACACAAATGCATCATAACAATATTTGGATGTGGTGATAATTTAATCAAATTATGATCATAACTATAAAAGAAAAATTTAAATTTCTTATTTTATACATAAAAAATAAGTATGCATGCAACTGATTAATTTCATAACAAAATAGTACTTTTTTTTTTTTTTTTTGCAATTACTGACTTTCAAGCAATTAATAAATAAAATCTAAAAATAGACTTAACCCAATAAGCCATTGCTGATCTGTTTTAGAAAAATTATGTTGCACGCAACGAGATGGAACCGTTTCTCTACTCATGGCGCGTAATATTGACATAGCATTACTCTCAGCATCATAATTAAACATCATTTTCACAGCCAGAGGATACTTTTTAATTGATGACTCTTGTTTTAGAAATACATTACTAGGATCTGTAAAGTAAAAACAATATTTTAGAAAATTAATTAATTTATCAAGTTTATTATAAAATAAGGATTTATGCAATAATTTACTAAAATTATTTTTATAATTTAATGTAACATAGTATATATTTTATATTATTGTTAATTATTATTATTTAAATATTTGTAATAAAAAAGTTAGAATAAAAATGTTTTAAATAATATTAAAATTATTTAGTTACAACTTATATATAATTAATAAGACAAAATTATTTTCAGTAATAATAATAATATACTGATTATGCTTAATAAAAGATACTGGATCATTTTTTTATTTTTTTTTTAAATAGGTATTTTATAATAATAAAATTAATTCGCATTTAAACCTATTATAAAATATAAAATAAATGTTAAGACTAATACATTCATTTATTTTCTTAGTTGTGAATTATTCTAGAGTTTTACATAGTTACTTACGAAAAGAATTATAGATTTAACAGAAATAAATTATAGAATAATTTTACTTATTAGTAGTAAGTATTAATTATTATAACATAACTGACTAATACATTTTAAAAATAGATACCTGTATCCTCTTCAATTTTTCTAGCTTCGTATACAACAGCATTATTTCCTTTAGCAATAACAGATCCTAATTCAAACTGTTTCAAGCCCAGAGATGAGTTTAAATCCAAGCGTTCAGCAACTGTTAAGTTCTTTTGCATGCGACCAACTGCTTCCTATTAAAAAATAAAAAAAACAACGACTAACAAATTTATTATATTTTTAACAATTCATACTTAATATAAATAAAGCACTTACTCGGATTTCCCAACAAACGCCTTCTAATTCATTTTCATTAGTTATCAGACCATTACCAGAAGCTAAACTTATTCCAACAAGTGCGAAAAAAGGTCTTGAGTTACCATACATGAGATGCCTGGCTGTACGCCTTCGTAAATCTGCTGATAGCGAGTTAGTTACACGGCTCAGCAGATTATCGACAAACGCTCTTCTGGCAAGGTTCCATCGGTTCTGCCAACCAGAACTCGGTGAATTACTGTGACTGACGATGGGATTCAGCGCTTTGGTGTGAACGCTTCGCGGTGCCACCTTGGTGCGCACCAGTAACCTGATGTCATTGGTACGGTTGAAGCGCAACAACGCCGTACCATTTCTGTAAAATACGCTGACCATTAGCCGGACAGACATTCAAAACACCGATGAACACAAACAGTGCTGCCGTTAAGAATTGCGTGACTAACGAAACGCATCTGGCGTAGTGATGTTCAGGTACAGAACTACAGAAGTTACAGATGCAGTCATATATTTAAAAATAGAATAGAGTTTTTGATGACATTGATTTTGCGACTCACTTTATCTGATGTTGTTGTAGGTAGAGGTAGACATATGTACTGTACTACTGTCACAGTGTCACAGTGTCACTGTGTAGTGTGTACTGTTGTTTGTCCTGTATAGTATAGTTGTAGTAGTTTTTTATTTTCTGAACACAAACACCACCAGATAAATATTATGCAGCTGATAATTGATATTATTCACCGCTGATAAGGAGAAACATAGATTTAAACATAAATAGAACACTGAACAACGGAATAAAACGTAACAAACATGATTGGACTTTAAATTGTACACCAGAATAATATGGTCTCAGATCTTTGGTAGTTATTTAAAAAAAATATATTTAAGTCGACCAAGATTCATTCAAAGACGCGGAAGTCTAAAATCTTCCACTTCAACTCATAATCTCATACGCCCGTCCAAACGAAATTCAATTTATTGTTATCATATTTATTTTGTCAATAGTCAATGCTTCCATCTGTGCTTCCATGGTCGCCACGCCCCACTCTTCACACTTTCAGAGTCAACATTCATTAGTCAATAACGCAATATTATAAAATATAGTCATTCGCCTTTCGTCTTCATTCGTCATATATCAGTCATCAGTCCTATTAACAAGAGTACAGTGCTTCAGTCGTTGCCATTCGTCATTGCTGCCAAGGAAGTAGTCTTCAAATCCGTTGTCTCGTTGTCTTGTCATTATTTTTGATCTCCAGAGTTTCCATAGTTATTTACCAACTGCGAACAAATATCAAACTACAAACGTTATTGAACCCAAATTTCCAACGTTAAATTCAACACATTCTAAGGTAATTATATTTTTTAATATCAATGTGTTAATAGTTCAATTTTTTTCTGGCGTTATTACTTATTTATTATAGTGACGCCTTTTGTCCGTAATCTAACGCTTTCGTTTGGCAATATTGTATTTTTAAATAACGATTTCTCCGGAAAAATGTTTTTTTCCGCGTATGAAACGGATACTCCTTAGCCACGTATGCCAAGGCCACCGCCATTGTTATATTATACATCCATGTTTTTGTAGTCATCCGATCAAGGTCGTTTAGGTTTCCTTTGTCTCTAATAGCTATGTTATTTCGATTAACGATCTTTGTTAACTGAATATAGTATATTTTAAATTAATTATAATGCTATTTATGGTTAATCCGTGTTTGTTCATTTCACATTTGCTATGCATTTTATGATTTTTATATTTATATTGGATGTACTATCGTAAATTTAATAAAACTGCTAGTTGCAAATTGTTACAGACATTTTGATTTTTTACAGTCGAAATGAAATGTGTTAATCACATTAAATGTGAATCCGTTACTTATGTAGTCATATAAAGTAGTTAGGTAGTCTATTTAGCATATTTTAATTACCAATTTTTTAGTTAATTGGTTCCTAGGTCAATACCATAATTTGAGTTTATTTGAATGTATCATTTTTCACTAAAAAATTTCAATTTAAGTGAATTTATGTTATCGCAATTTTAAGCAAAATTTCATGTTTCAGTAATTCATTGTATAATTTAAATTGGAAATTAATATTGTAAATTATTTAATAGTTATCTGATAGGAAAATAAGACTTTGTATGTACCTATTCATTACAATAATTTGTTGAACACAATTTCCTTTTATGTTTTTAACCTCCATAGAATTTAAAAAGAGTTGAGCATATTAACTTATCGATTTCAGTGTGTTTTGTTTCTCATGTTTTGCCAATTTCCAATCCTTCAATAGCTGCATAGAATTTAACATTTAAGTTAAGATTCATACATTTTTTTGAAATATATTTTAAACTTATATTGCACAATGTTTATAAAGACAATCAAAAAACAAAACATGATCTTTTCACTAATGTAATATATAAGTACTAAAATAAAAAATAATTCAACTATTTATTAATATGTATATTCTATGTACCTAAGTAGATACTTATATGACTATATTAGACTTATTTAAATTTATTTTATTCGGTATTTTATCTTATAATCAGTCTTATAGAAATATCATTACATCAGTTATACTATTATCATTCTTATTTGTATTTAAATGTAAATGCTTAAAACAAATTATAAAAAATAGGTATCTTGTACATCACACAATCAGAATGATATCAAAAAATATAAGAACCTTTAAAGAATTTTTGCAAAGGAAGGGAGTAGACTTATAGCACGACAAAAAGGTTAAGTATATGACCTATTTAAAAAATATTTAGTCTAGTTAAAATGTTTACCTATAATAATTAATGGTTAATCATAAAACATGTACATTATAATACTAGTATTATAACATAAATTTATTATGATACAATGCTACTCCCAAGTAAAAAATTTAATAAATTATTTAATATAAATAATATTCATTTAGATATCAATTAAAATATTGATACCTATTTATAAAAATTAATTTAGCAAACTTGAACATAAACATATTTTATTTATTAAATATCTAATCATATTATTTAGATTCCAATGTTAAATCTATAATACTTTTGTTTTCAGTTTCAAGATGCAAATTTTTGTGAAAACTTTGACTGGCAAAACCATCACTTTGGAAGTAGAATCTTCAGACTCTATTGAAAATGTGAAAGCTAAAATCCAAGACAAAGAAGGAATCCCACCCGATCAACAGCGATTGATTTTTGCTGGAAAACAATTGGAAGATGGCCGTACATTATCTGACTACAATATTCAGAAAGAATCAACACTACATTTGGTACTCCGTCTTCGTGGTGGAATATAAATTTTAGTAAAAACATCAGTATTTCTTTTGATCAACAGTGATTGAATTTGTCAAAAAACAATTAAGTTTCAATAATATATAGTGTTCTTTTACTGTAGATTATACAAAGATTTTAATTATATAATAAATAAATCATAAATAACAAATTGAAATTCTATGTTTATTCATTTCAAATTATTATTTATCTACTATGATATATTAATATATTATTACTGTCTTGTAAAAAGTAGTGAAGTTAACATATTTGTAATTTTAGTTTTATATAAGGGATTATAACTTTTCTTTTCTTATCTACTTTTTGCATAACAGTTTATTCAATGTTGCACAAAAAGTAATAAATTTCAAATTTTAATCATGCTTAGCTTTTTTTTTGTATCATTATTATAAATTATATGTGTATAAATATACTATATTCTTATAATTGCATTTTTCCAAAAATTAAAAAGAAACATTTATTTTCTTAATTTAAAATGTTAGTAGACTTTTTTAAGTTCTTCAATTAACATTGATAGCATATTTATATGTGTATATGTATGTGCATTTATGCTATTTCACATACTTTAAAATTTAAAAGTAATAATAATTATTTTCTTAAAGAACTAGCCTTTTTAATTTATCATAATATCATATGTTTGGTAGTAATATCTAATGGTTATACATTCTCTATAGATATTGGTTGTTAGATAAAAATAATTTTTTTTGTGTTTTTAATAGAAACATTTTAAACATAATGGAATTATTTTAATTGATGTTCATTTCATCTACAACTAGCATAAATCTAATAAACTTGCATTTATGAATCATTTTATATTTATGATTTATAAATGTTTAATAAGTTAATTTCTGTATTATACAGTACTTTTGCTTGTGTGCTTGGCATGTATCAAAATCAATAAGTAATTCGATTTAAGATAAATAATTTTTACACATACCTAATAATAAAATATTTTACAGGTTAACATTAAATATGATATTTAACATGCATACAAGTAAATGATTTAAAATCTGAATGTTTGCTTTAACGTAAAATATTCAAAAAAGCTTTTTTCTCTATATATATATTAAAAAAAAAGCTTATCTAAAACTGATATATTTTATAACAATTCATTACTAATATAAAAGTAACAAGTATCCATGTTATATTGCAAATTTAAAGTTCATGAAATATATTAATTTTAAATAGAGATATTAGTTTATACTGTCGTATAGCCCAATTAACTGAGCATAATTTAGTTTAGAGGTAAGTATGATATATGTAACTTATATTAAACATTACCTATGGGCTATGATACAAGATTGAAATTATAACAGAACTGATTATAGTAAATAACTTAATAAATATTATACTGCGCTATAATTTTATTGTATTTGATTGTATGGTAGAGAGGACGTCATACCTGATATACTGTCCATGTCTTACAAGTACGTGATGTACCAATATAGACATACAGTAGTTCAAGTTTTATGTTGTTAGCTTTAGAGTGAATTGACTATTAATCATACTTAAAGTTTAGAATATTATTTATGTCTTCTAAATTTTAAAACAAATCATGAGTGTATGAATTAATAATATTATAAATATAATCATATAAAAATTAAAATATTGTGAAAAACCAATAAGATAATACAGATAATGTAATAATAAAAGAGTTTAACAAATCATTAAATCCAATATTGGAACGATTGAAAACAAATAAAAGATATATTGGCTACTTATAGGACAATAAATAGAGGTGGACACTCGCATAATTTAAGAATTATTGCAACCTTGAAATATTATTTATCATATAAAATAAAAATTGTGGTTAAGTTTTAAATCTTTAAAAAAAAGTTTTTGTACTTAACCTTCAATGTATTGATTATTTGAAGAGTTTACAACGCTAAGGTTTCAATGATACTCATAATTTATCAATTTAAAATGTCTTCAATTTATAAGATATCTTAATGAATAAATTATTTAAAAACAAATTAATTGTTTTAAAATAGTTATATTTCAGATAAATAGTCATAAAATATACCAAGAAATATTATTAATTAGTATATAGTTCATACATTTATAAACATACACATTACAAACATTTTATATTACTAAACACTACAATCGCTTCCTTTACATAAAAAACTAACATCAATAGCAATAATTAGTAATATTTATCACAGGAGCAATTAATTTTCATACAAGTAATAAATGTTCAGTAAAATATTGGTTTATTCTTAATTGCTATACAAATATATATATTCATTAAGTTTTTATTTTTTAGTTTATATTATGCATGAAAAAAAAAAAGTTGCATTATATAATATTTATTGAACAGTACAAATAATGAATAGTTTTTTGTTGTTTAATGAATATTTGCACACATCAGACTATGTATACTTATCTTTTATGTTGTAATAGTTACTTAATTGACTTGCAAAATTGGAACAAAAATTATGAAATATATTTAAGTACTACTAGTACTTAATTGAATAAGTCCAAGCAAAATTAAATATTATAAACCTATTTAATATTCACATTTAAATTAGAATGATAGCATAATTTCACTTAAAATATTCATATTTAAATTAAATAAATAGATATAAAATAAAAATATGGATATTTTAAATCTAAAATTATGAAGTAGTGGACAAAATATTAGTACATTAATTTATAGATAAGTTATTTTTCTTCGCACCATTCATTTTCTTTGCGTACTTGTTCCTCCTCGGCAGCTGAGAAATCATTTTTAATATTGAATGTTTTCCTTATCTCCTCAGGAGTTTTTCCTTTAATCATATTAGCAACAGTCTTACATGTAACGTCCAATAAGCCTTTGATGTCCAAATAGTTGGCAGCCAATATGAGTTCAAATAATGTACCCTGATCCACTTTCAGAAAATCTGCATCCCAGCTAGATATATCATCGGTACGCTTCTCGCGTCCTTCGTCGTCTTCAGTTGCAGGTGGGTCGTCCTTGTGGTAGGTTGCCCATTGGATAACTTTCTTCAATATTCCAGCGTTCACGTTTGGCAATGGCACAATTTCTTCGTCTTCTTCTTCTAAGCCCAAGTCCTCAACCATAGTTTTGATAGTAACCGATGCTTTAGCGATCTCAAAATCTACTTGAAACACTTCACCATCCGAACTTTGCAATTTGATCATCGGCATCTTGATGCAAATGAGTGTTTCTCGGATGACTAAGTAAAATTTACTAATTACTTTTATTTAATATGTATTATGTTGTAATATTTGTAAATTGTAAGCTGTTAAAAAATAAAAGTTAGAATGTTAGATATAAATATAATACAATATTATGTATAAAAATTATGAATCAAGGATCAACAATATTTTTATCTTATCCAGATGACAGATTGGAAAACAAAAACATTCGATCAATTGGTGTTCTTGCTTAATGTCGTTATCCGGTATACCACTGAAATTGTTGATTCACACCTGTGGTGGTGGTCTATACACGGTTTACAATATACTCCATAGACTATTCCGATTCCAAACATTCCAGTAAGTTGTTTTCAGATGATAATGTGATATATTATTGATAAGATATAGCTATTAAGGTTTTTTTTTTATCTTTGTATGATAACATTGATGAATAGTGCATTATTTAAAAACAAATTTTAATAGGCCTTTCATTTTTTATGATTATTTTTTTATTTTGTAATTTTTACTTTTACAGTATTAATTAATAGACATTAGTTAAGATTTAGTTATTATAACTGAGAATATTAGAAAATTAATTAATGTCATTTAAAATTATTAATTTCAAAACAATTTCTCTAAACTTATCATTTCATTCAGTATTATTTAAATAAAATACCCACTAATTATAGTACTATGTAATACGTCTGAAAATATAGAGGATCAACTAAATATTTTATCTTACAAACTGTTGTAACTATAAATTGCTTAATTTATAGTAGATTTATAGATATAATTTTGAATTCATTCTAGTGATACATAATTAGCTATTTTATTCCTTAACTATGGATAATAGTAGTAGTGTTACTGCTGGAAACTCGGTAGTTTTTTTGGATATCGAAATTGCCCAAGAAAAAAGTGAGTAAAATACTAAAATGTAGAGTTAAATAATACCACACCTTTGCAATGTTTCCAGATAATCAAATAAATTTACTGAATTGTTCATTTTTATTTTTACAGTTGGACGTATTGTCATTGAATTGTTTAATAATATAGTACCTAAGACTGCTAACAATTTTAGAGCTCTTTGTACTGGTGAAAGAGGTATTGGTTTATCAGGAAAGCCATTACATTTAAAAGGGTCACTATTCCATCGAGGTATTATTAATTATAATATAGTATTTAAAATAAAAAACCTATATAAGTACTTAATAATTTGACATATAGCATAATAGCAATAATAATCAATATTCATATACCAGTTGATTTCTATTAAAAAAGGTCTTTACTTTAAGTTATTAATATACAATATATCTAATAAATAACTGTAATAAGTTTATACAAAATAAAAATATAGATGTTTTATTCTATTTTCTTTACCCTTAACCTTGTGAATTAATTTTAAAATTTGTTAAAGTTTCTAAACAATTTATTCATACATTATATGTGTATAAACAGTACTGTAGATATATTTGGAGACTTAAAAATGTTTGAGTTGCCACAAATTGAACAATAATATGATATTCTGACACTTATTATTTTTTATCACCACTCACGAGAATATAAATTGGCAAAATATATTAGACATTGGCTATATATATTTTTTTAGTTAAATATTAAAATTGAGTAATTTTTATTAAAAATTAATTTTACTGTAAAAAAAAAAAATAAATAAATAATTATGTAGTCTGATTTAAATAACTAACAGAATTATGACACTTTTTTTTATAATTATAGCTGTTCCTGAATTTATGGTCCAGGGTGGTGACATTACTGCTGGTAATGGATCAGGCGGTGAAAGTATATATGGTTTATATTTTGAGGACGAAAACTTTAAATTGCTGGTAAATTACATTGATACTAAGTAATATAGATATAGCTGACTTTATCGGATTTGATTTTTTTTCATAGTTTGGTATAATTTTGATTACTCTAAAAAAATATGCTAAGTCATAAACCCATAAATATCCAACCTCTAATAATCCATTCAATCACAAAAATTTCAAAAATAATAATTTTTTGGTTTTTGTTTTTTATAAAACAAATTAAAAATTAATAAATTTTTATGTAACAATAAAGTTTTCAATAAAATGTAAAAAAAATTATAATATCTAATATAATAATAAACACATAGTAATTTCTAAAGTTTTATTTTTAAATTACCTAGCGAACGCAACTTTGTGGTCTGATACCACATGCATCACTAAACATTAATTTGAGACATTTTTGATATATAATACCAATCTCAACAATATTATTGATACACTAACTTTTAAGTAGTTGTTGAATCTGTCTCCAGTTTTTTATGTTAACATTAAAAATTTGTAAATTTAAATAAATAAGTGGAAAATCATAAAATTAATCATTGAAATTGTATTTATATTATACATTTCCACTGAAACAAAATGTAAAACAATAGAAAGATAAATTAATTTGAACTCAGAAAAAGTAGGGATAATGCAGTTGGTATAATTTAAATGTATTTTACCCATAAAAAAAATCTAGAATATATTTTGTCTTTAGTTAAAGTTAGACATGTACTAAAACTAGTTAATTTGGAAAATTAAGAAGTACTATAGGACTTATAAAATACTTTTGTTTTATTTATAACTTTAGAATGTATGATTTTATTTCTTATAGTGATTTTACTTGATTGAAAATATTAAACTATTAAATTTAATTTTTAATTTTTAACTATAATTTAACTGTTTATTGTAATATTTCACTACATAAATATAAACTTCTCAATATTATAATAAAATATTTTATTTTTTATGTAATAAATTTAATATATTACTTTTCATTCTAGCATGAAGAACCTGGAGTCTTGAGTATGGCAAACACAGGCCATCCAAATACTAATAACTCCCAGTTTTTCATCACGACTGCTCCGTGCTCACATTTGGATGGTAAGAATGTTGTTTTTGGAAAAGTGAAAAAAGGATTTTGTGTAGTTCAAACAATTTCTACCACAGCTACTAATAATGATATCCCTATTAATGTAAGTAAAATAATACTAATATTTAGTGAGTTCAGCAGTTTGGTTTTGTCTATGTAAAATAATATATTTTTTAAATTAAAATTATGTATTTTTTTTTTTTTTTTAATATGAAAAAATTATCCTATAGACTAGTATTTGATCATTTATGCTGGAAAGTAATTAGTGAAGCTTAATAATAGAATTCAATATTTACCAATCTTAAAAATTCCACGTATAGACTAATATTTAATAAAATAGTAAAATACATTTTTATGAAAAAGATTTTAAATTTAAAAATCCGTATAAGCTACAAGATTTTCTAGAAGAAAAATTTGGTATAAAACTAATATTTAGTAGTTAAATATTGATTTGAAGCTAAGTTATCTTAGTATTTCTGTATTTTGTTAGTTACTGCACATATTATTTCTTAAATGTTCTATATTGAACAAATATGTATTATTCTCCAATGTCTTCTTTAAAAGTTTTGCTGTATTTCTTTATCTGAAGATTGGAAACCCTAATTATAATTAAAAGTATTTTGTATTTATTAATCATATTTTTATGATTTTAGTCTTGTATAATCACAGATTGTGGTGAGCTATCAACTGATAGTAGTACTTGGAATATTAATGAAAATGATGCAACCAATGATGTTTTTCCCCCTTTTCCTGAAGATTGGACTGTTCAGCCAGTTGATCTTGATGTAATTACTTAATATTTTACTCTAAATATTTTTGCTTATTAAAATTTGATTATTTCTTTTTCAAGATAATACAAATTTGTGATGTTCTAAATAAAATCAAAGAATCGGGAAACTATTTTTTTAGTTGCAAAAGTTATTCAAGTGCTAGACGAAAATATGACAAAGTGTTACGATATTTTGAATGGTAAGTATTTTTAATATTTTATAGTATTTATCATTATTTCGATATAATGTATTTCATTATATTAGATTAATAGATTCATATTTTACAGGTATAAAAGTTATCATAAAAATTCTACAATGGATTTAAATATGCTGAAAATTATACAAACAAATACATTATTAAATTTATCCACTGTTCATTTGAAAGAAAAAAATTACAAAATTGCAATTGAATTATTAGAACAAGTAAATATTATAAAAAAAACTATTTATGGCTGTGGTTTTCAATCTTTTTAACAATGTGGCACACTTCATTACCTAAAAAGTTTTTGCAGTACACTAGTCCTGTATAGACTGATGATTTAGCCTATCTTTATGTTTGATATTCATTAGTTTTTACCGAATATGAATAATAATACTTATGAATACATAAAATATTATAAAATTATTGAATAGATTTATTGTGGCACACTTCAATGGCACTCACAGCACAATGGTTGAAAACCACTGATTTATGGACTATATTAATTGTATATTATAATTTAAAACTGGTGGGAAAAAATTAATAAGTCCAACTAAACAAAATCTCTTGTATCAAGCATTTATTGTAAAATATTATAATTAATGTTGAACTAATTGAAAGTTACTTTTTGTTATAGGTTCTGAACATAGATTGTAATAATGGAAAGGCTCTTTTTCGCATTGGTAAAGCATTTAGTTCACTCAATAATTATGAGAAAGCAATAAAATACTACAAACAAGCTTTAGAAATTTTTCCAGATGAAAAAAATATTTTAATTGAGTTAAAAAAAGTAAAACAAGCTCAAACGCAATATTTAGCTACAGAAAAAAAGCTTTACTCAAAAATGTTTTCATTTTAAGAAAATAGGTTTCAGAAAATAATATAATATAATTATACTACTAAGCAAATTACTCTTCATTGTTGATAAAGTAAAGATTGTTTAATTTTTGATAGAATAGAATTATTTTAAATTTGATATCAAATACTGTTAATTTTTTTATAATTTAAAAATAATATATTTTGTACTATTATTAAAATTCATGTTTAATTTTAAATTTTATTTCCTAAATACTCAAATAACAAACATTAAGATACAATTCAAAAAAATATACTATTATTCGCACACAAACAAATAAACGAATACTTACTATTTTATAAAGAAGTTTTTACAATTGAGATATAATTTTATTTTATATCTTTATATGTGAAAGAAAATTACTTTATTCCATTTTGTAAAAAAGTGCATTGTTCAATTTTTAATACATGATAAACATTTATTTATCTTTCAAGTTTTTTTCAAACAGTAAATTTGTACATTCTTAGCTTTTTTTCTTCTTTTTAATAATATCAGTTTTTAAAAACATACCACTAAATATACCACTTTCCATATTTTTCTATCCATTGTCAAGACTCACCAATTAATTCTCTACTTTATTTGTTTCATTTAAATTTTCTCTACAATTCTGGACTTTGACATGATGGTTTGAGTTCCTCATTATTTTAGATCCTGTTTTTCTTCTTAATTTCCGTTTGCTATTTGATTAACTTTATATAATATCTATATTTCTACTTATTTGCATGTAAATTTGGTAAATACATAAAATAAAATGTATATTAATAAAATAAACAATTTTGTTTGGATGTTCGGAAGGTAGTAAGACACCTCTTTAATTATTACATATTTGTTTCTTTTTTTTTGTAAAGGATATACAAAATTGCAGTCTTTTATTTTTTTGGAATCGTCTGCTTTTATCAATTCTTGATTATTTAGTGAACCTATTCAGCCAATCCAATCTATTTTTTTTCAATAGATATTTATATTCCTGGTACTTTATGGTTTTTAAATTTTTGTTTGTACCAGAATGTCTTTCATCATTGGTACTGGGGAATATGTAGTATTGTTAAATTTTTGATTATTAAATCTAAATGAATATTCAGTTTTTTTACTAATTAAAAGTTAATAAAAATATTCTCCTCACATGCTAGTTTTTTATTAATTTTTTTAAACCCTAATTGAAGTATATTAATGCATTTTCAGAGTATAAACAAATAAATAACTAGATTATAAATGAAATTACCTTTTAAAGATTAAAATTATTTTAGTTGATTTTTATAAAATTTAAATAAATATCAACTAAAAATATACAAGCACTTTTAAACTAATATAATTTATAATAACTATTACATTTCTATTTTTTGTTGCCAGTTAAAATATTAAAGTATTTAATATTTGTATATCATTGGTATTTTTTTTATTCCATTCAAGACTGAATTTTATTATTAAGATATATTTAAATTATATTTACGTGTATTATTTAAATGTATATAATTTTTAAATTATTATTTTTTGTTTACTAGTATAAGATTTAATATTTTTTAATTCCATTTTTTGTTTTTAATTATAGTCAAGTAAGTTCTCAATAATTAATACGACAGTTGTTATTATTTATATTATTTAATGCGACTTTAATTATTTAATATAAATGTATACTTTTTTTTTTAAACTTTCATAATATGAACAGGCATTATAAACAAAATTATAGTTTTTAGTTCCTGAAGTCTACTATTATTGCTCAACACAAAATATTCAAGTAAATATTTTAAATTTGTATTACTCTTAGATAAGGTATTAGTTAATTGAAACTTTAATCTGTTATTATTAATAAAAATATACTTGTTTGTCTTTTTATATTTGTATTTATAAGTTCTACTTTTGTAAAATCCTGGAATAGTATGCTATTTTTAAGAATTTCTCAGAATTAATTATTAATACATTGACTAACTAATAAATAGTAATATAAATATTACCCAAAAGGCTGGGCCTTTTGTGTTTTAGTGATTAGATACTAATTTATTACTATTTACTAACGAATAAGAATATCTACAGATTCCACTAGTTAATAATTAGGTACAAGTGGAAAATTGCGAATTTATAAATATTGTACCTATTTCTCTGCTTATGAATTTTAATTTTTTTTTTTAGTTAGAGGTACTTTAAAAAGTATATAATTATATACTATACTATTAAATATAATATGAATACTTCTTACACATTACATTGCATAAAAAGAGAGCTGGAAAGTATCAGCAAGATAACGATTAAAAATATAAACCATGCAAATATACCGATAAATGGTTATTTTTGTTTACTGAAACATGGCTTGAAAACGTATATGAATGATGAAATGTTAAATTGTTAAAATATGTTTAAAAATTAGTAAAATATTTAAAAATATATAATTGTATCAAAATATTTAATAAAAATGATTTAAATTGTATCTTATCAAATTTTAAATAACTTGTTTTAGAAAAAAATTTTACAGATTAATCCGTCCCCAACTTATTATACTTAAAATAATTTTTTATTACAAATAAGAAAACATTGTATAATATTGACGTAATTATTTTTTCTGTAACTATTTGTGTTATTATGTTACAATACACAATATTATATAATATGAACGCATAAAAATACGTCAGTTAAATATATAATTAGGTTTAAGTACCTAAGCTACACTATAGACATTTACGTGTAGTTCAATTCTAACTATATTTGTTATAAACGTGAATCTGTGTAAAAATAATATAATTATAAAAATACGATCATAACTGTTTATCTTATGGATGGATAAAAACAAAAACAAAAAACATGCAACTAAAGAGACTACCTACCAATCGGTAGGTTTGGATGAAAAAAGAAATAAACATATTCTGCAGTCTAACTTTAATAACAGAATAGCTCGATAGTCGATTATAATTCATATCTGTAAGTAAATTATAAATCGATTTTATTAGGAACAATAATAAATTAAATACAATATTGTGTATGTCTCGTGCGTGAACAAGTTATCGATCGGAACTACAACGTGAAAATTACGAAAATTGTTTACTGGATTTATTACAAATTATAAATGTAAATTATTTTCAGTTACCAAGGTCCAAGTTATCACCGATCTGAATAACATTTTAAACGTGATTTACCTGTATATAGCGTGTCGGTTATATGTCCAACACGATCGTTTAAAATTGAAATAGCGATACAGTTACTATTATTTAACAAAAATGTACCTGAACTTATTTAAGTCCGATGCTTTTCTCTCGGGGGCATAATTGCCTATATCTGGAACTGGAAATCAAACGATGGTACGTTATTAAGCTATTTTGGTAAAAGTGAAGGTGCAGATGAGTGATGGCGATGATTCAGTATCCGAGAATAATTTTCGAGTAGCAAATTCCAAAAATAATCCTCGCGGTTTCTTACTACAATTAGTCCAGCGCGGTACATGTGATAGAGAAAAAAGTTACCTATAGATAGACGATAGACTTGTATTTTAATTTTTAGACACGCCCTGACTTACTATTTTTACTTGTTAATTGTCATTATAGTATTCTGAAAAATTCTTTTTTTTTAAAAGTTATTTACAAATTTTTTATTTAAATACAATAATTTATGATTCCATTATAATACAAACGTTTTTTGCTTTAGGTATGTCCATATATTATATTGTCATCACTCATCACTCACCATAACAGTATAAATAGTGTGGTATAAATAAGGATTAACATGGTCAATTATTATTATATGTTTTACTCATATTTTCAAGTAAAAAGCAATATTTTAATAATTAAATAGAATATAAATATAAATTAATTTATTCACCGATGTTTGATTAAATCATTTATTTTTTAATTTGACAAATTCCCTAGTAATAATTTAATAGTCTTAATAAATAGCTCATAAATCATATTATTTTCTACAATTTACAAATAATATATTATAATTATAGGCAGAAATGTATTTTGGCAGTAGTTGGGGTGGCTAATTGCCCAGGGCACTTACCTTTTAGGGACGCCGAAAAAATATTAAAAATTAAATAATAATATATAATTATTTTTATTTTATATATAGATATATTATATACACTGTGTCTAGTAATTTTTAAATTATTTTTAACACATAGGTACTGTATTTTATCACGATATATTAAGAAATTAATGAAGCTATTTAATAATTAAGTACATTTTTAGTTTTTACAACGGGAAATTTTTTTGAAATTTGAATAGTCAATAGCAAAATAAAAGTAAAAGAAGGAACATTGAAATAGGGTGCCAAATTACTAAATAGGGTTTTAACTATTTTCATAAACGGGAATAGTTTTTACAAATAATTAATGTTCTCTTACTTTTACGATAAAAGCATCACTCGCTATAATATGAATTACCTATATTAATTGTATTATTGTTATTATTAATTAGTGTGAATTTACTAAATACTTTAACGTCTTTATCCGTAAAATAAATTAAATTATCATAAGTTCATCATGTTTTAATGTGAGATTTGAGATTGTGTAGGTAGGTACAGATTATTCAACAAAATCGATTTAAAACTTATTCTCCTATTTGTTTTTAAAAGTTTTATTATCATTATTGATTTTATGTTTTTTTACTTTTTAGTGGACATTTTTAAAAAACTGCAAAATAAGAAATTAATAAGACCAACGGCTAGCATGAAATGACGACAACGACGACGAGAACGACCGAACGACTGAACTGATAAAATAAAATAATTACCTAAGTACTTATTAGTTTTGTTAGCTATGCCTCTATAAATATATATTTAAACATTTAATAATTAAGCTTAGTTAATAGTTTCAATACTAATTACTAGATAACAAATCAACTAATACCTATCTATGTTTTACAAAAAATATAATTAATAAAATAAAATACAGATAAACGCTAAAATCTTATAAGGTTATTTGAAAATGTATCACAGACCAAATAAAAAAAGCTTGTGAGATGCATTGACCCGCGTGCCGCCAGTTGCCCATCTATGCCTAATGTATTCAATTTGTGGTTTTTACTTCAGATATTTGTTGTAACGACTTTTATCAATACG